ATTACACATATGTACATAGTTTCATTCTGGGACGACATAATATCACGATTGAAATAGGTTGACTTCCAATTTTTTGTTTACATAGTTAGTTAGTAACCAGTTAAGCTAATAAAAGCGTTTTAATATAAAACACAATTAACCTTACTCTAATCAGACATGTAGATTGTACCTGAATTTCTAAAGTAAAAAGGATTAACAAATCAAACTGAATACAGAATGCATTTTTTTTTATAAGGCTGGTTTCAATTGTAGGATTGAGTTGATAAAGATCTACATGTATAAAACTAACTAAAGGAGTCGAAGTTTAGTAGTTACTACATTGAAATGAGACAGCCATTATTTCTATTTAGGTTCAAAAGTATCTTCCATCTCCATGCAAATAAATCAATGGAAATAAATCAAATAAAACAAATGGAAGCAATTGTACGTTGTGTTCATTGAAAGCTAAAGTTCATTTGAATTTGGCGAATGAATTGTTGCCATTTAATCGATACATTGACATGAAGGGCGCGCCGGATGCACGCTATTGGACCAAGAATACGACGCCATATTAGAATACCCGACGATACAGATTTACTACAGAAGATCAAGTACATTTAAAAAGATTCAACTGACGCGTGAATCAGTAACACACCGACGGTGGTCGAGTATTTGCTCATCCAAAAAAAAACAAATGATGCAGATGACATGGATGAAAGTATATACATAATTTTATGCTGATGATGGAGATTAATATAGCAAATGGAGATCGCCATGGAAATTGATAGGAATTTAAGAGATTTTGTTTTATGAGAGAATAAAGATAATTATGTATGAGTGTTTATATATTGTGTATGTCTATGGACTTCAATTATGTTAAATTTAATATTTTATTTTGCACCTACCGCTTCATATTTCTACATCACCTGAAGGTTGACTGGGAGAGAATGCCTAAAGGCATTAAGTCCACCTTTGTACAATATAATATAATAATAATATATTCTAATATATTCTACCACATACACACAAGAAAAATAAAAAATAAAAGAAAGAAATAAATAAAGACTTGACGGTTTAGTCCATCTTCAACCCCTACTATATCTACCCTTGTCCACGTTGAACCACTAAATATGACTGACTTTTAATTTTTTATGTTTTTAATTCACGTTCAACCCTCTATGGACAGTAAAACACAAAAAGGTTTTCTCATCTACCCGAAATGTTTACTATTACCTATAATTTTTAAGTCTGCCTATTCATTACTTGCCCTAAAGTAACGAAGTTTCTGCAGTTACTTTGCAATACAAATTATAAGAACCGTGGTCAACAGTAGATATATGACACCATTGTTTTGAGCAGACATGTGTGTATAGTAAGATAAGCGAATTTGTTTTAGGGTTTCTTTCAACTTGTAAATTATTATAAAAGAAAATAAATACACTTCTGATCTCACCATTACTTTAATTTAATTTTTAGATACCTAATAACTGTGGGTTGAATTCGGACAAAGAAAAGATGCCCAATGTATTAAAATCCATGTTCTACCCCTGGGGGTTGAATATGGACAACATTTAGGGGTTGGACAAACCCTTTTGACAACAATTTTCTCTAGCACGTTGTGTAAATAAATGTTATTCTAATGTTTTCAGAAAAATTGCCGCCCCTATTTCAAAACCACAAATGACATCCATAGGCACGATCTTATTCTCAGGTAACTAGCATTACACGATTCAAATTTATTCCCAATCATATTATAATAACTAAATAACATACAAATTAAGTTTTACCTTTGCCACAATATTACTCGCTCCTGAAATCGAACATGGCTAATATGACCCAATATACATTGGTACAAACATAAATGTACTTACATTGCAGCCAGTTGTCCATTAACTGTTATAAATAATTGATTACCATCCCAATTTACATTAGAAGTTATGCACATATAAACAAGGGGTAAGTGAATTTGCTGTCAATGTAAATGAATTCTCATTTCATTCAAGTTTTCTCTACAGAACTACATTACACTGAGGTCACTGTTTTTGTAAACTGAGCAAATACAGCAAACAGCGTTGATTTAGACATTTACTCAACACATTAAGTTCATGAGTTAGGTTCAGAATTGTTTTTGTCCTTTCTATTTGAAGTAAATATGTACAAAAAAGGGTAGTCCAGAAGTCATAAATATGATTAGTTGCAAGAACACTTACGTCTTATCTTTTTTTTAATGCTTTTTCTTATTACTTTTTGCATTGAAATTCATCAATTTTCTGCAGGTAGTCCTGTCGATTTTAGAAAATTACATTTCATCAATTGATCTACGAGTATATTATACAATATGTCAGACAACTGAATACAATATAAAGAAAAAAATTTAAAAAAAGTGCAGACCTAACGAGGGCTATTTCAGCTGGCTACCAGTAAGTGTAGCATCAGTTAAGTTTTTTGAAAGAAAAAGCTGTTCCAAAACAGAACCATATTTTCAGCTGGTCTCGGGCGTCAACTGTCTGTACAAACTTGTCTTTCTGTTATTTGCATGCCTACGCTTCCACCGCCATATTAGAACGGGTGAACAACACATTGTGTGCGCACGCGCATAAATTAACATCACGACAAGCAGTAATCGGACAAATTAACACATCGCTATGGGTCTGTCGTCCGCTTGTCTGACTCATGCCTGGATTTCAGACTGCCAGTGTTATTTTGTTTCATTAAGGAAAACATTCATTTTAATAATTTAGCCTTCGTATGCTAATAGGGTACAATTTAGAACAGCGCCCTCTGTTCGTTATTCTTGGAATTTAGTAAAGATGTGTTGTATTACTCCTTATTAAGATTATTATTATTCTGTATTGATGAGGGTATTCAAACAGCAAAAGTATGGATTACTTTTGTTTCAATCCATACACTACATATTAAATATGATAGTACATTTTTTTATTTGTTGTTGTTTAACACAATGTTCTTCAACATAACAACATTGTGTTATGTTGAACAAATTAAATAAATGAAACTAAAATTATTTTGCTAATCTTTATCAGTTATTACCTAACGTAATCGTGTTTCAGAAACCTATCCCAATTATGACTTACGATAAACAGTTCAATAGTCGTGACAAAATACTATCAACAATAGAGGAATTCCCTTTAAACAGAGGAAATTCTACGAAACATACAATACATATCATCTACTTCTCTCATGTTTACCACATAACACAATAACAAAAATGTGCAGAAGATAGCCTCAGTAGTGGAAAGAGAAGTTTTCAACCTTTGTATGATGTTTCTTTCACTGAACTCGTGTTTGTAAAAATACCTCTAAGTACGAGTATATCAAAACGAGTATATCAGAACTCCAAGTTTTTCTTTTTAATTTAAACCCTTCAAATCAGTAAAAACAATGGTAACACTTAGTTTTTCAAATGTCGATTCAAAAAGTATAGCGGAAAAAGAAAGCAAAAAGGGTTAAATAGTATTTTAATTCAACGGTTACCGTTGATATAAATATAAAACCACCTTGAATTAAGGAGCCATTATCAATATTTAAGTCAAGGCAGATCAGGATGAATCACGAAACGAGCCTCCTCAAGGAGATGTACGAGTAAAAAAGTTGTTTCACTCTTTTATCCAAATATGAGAAAATTAATTGCAAATACGTGCCGCATAGTGAAGTTCAGTCATGGCAAAAGTATAGCAAGTCTTCTAGTCTTTTTTTTGTTAACGGGTTTTAAGATCCTCATGTCTGTCGGACTCTTCCCGACTAAAAACCACCCTGGTGTTCGTCTCCTTACCAATGGACGGGGGAGCGCGAATCGCAATTGCATTCTTCCGCAAACCCTCGACAGGCATTGAACCGTCTCACCCAAGGCAGGTCCGTCACCCGTTGCGACGCAGTCCTCTAGAAGCGCACACGGAACACTGTGCGCTGCCTCTCAGGTCTGCATCTGTTTGGACGACAAATTCCCTAAAATCATCGCCCGCAGGCCACTTCCTCATCTAAGATCGACTAATGCCCTCCGGCTTCCAGTGCTCCTTCTGCGGGTAGACAGCGGTGTTGCGTTCTCTCTCCCGTCCTGCTGCTTTATTTGCGGATATCACATGTTCGCAAAAGGAAGCGACGGCGCTCTATGCACTCTCTCTGCGGACCATCGACACAACCAAGTTCGGCAGCGAGACGCCACCCGCAGAACTGACTGCCGCGATAAGATCACGACGCTGGCTGACCCAAGCTGGTCATTCTACCAGCGTGTGAAGCGCCGTGTCGTTAGGGCAGTCATCACAATGGTGGCACTGTGACGTCGGGTCCCGGCTGATTCGACACAGGTACTTGCGGAAGCAACCATGTCCGGAAAGCACCTGTGTCATCCGGAAGGTGAGAGCTCGTTGTTTCCTCTCCAGCCACTCTCGTAAGACGGGTCTTACCGCCGCTATTGCGGCGTGCCCGTGCCCTTCTATCCTTAGTCCGTGAATGTTGTTGTATTTCAACTATCGTTTACTTTACCGGTTAGGTACAATCCATTATCAAACTTGCTCGTTTAATTATATTATGTTTAAGTATTATCAATGTCCCTATTATAAATGACGCACTAATGTCATTGTTCCTATTTACATGCATGACTAAATTTACTTAATTAAATAAAACATGTTTAGCCAGCCCACTACTGAAAGCTTTTTGTATATACGGAGAATTATATAACTATAGTTGTTTAAAATTTATTTACTTAAATTAATTTCTTTACATATATAAGTTTTAGTAATGAAGAGAGAGAGTCCGAAGAAGAGAGTCCGGGTTTTATAATACTTGATTAATCTTAGTTCAAAATAAAGAGGTTAAAACATTTTTTTGAATTTTCAATTTAATTTTTAAATTCATAATAGTTTAAAATTCGTCGTCGGTCTGTTTATACATTTGTGGAAGGGAAGAATTATAAAAATGTACTAATGAACGTCTACTTCATAAAACAAAAGCCATATTCCTATCGCTGCAGAGTAACCTTATTACAAGCTAGACACTAGACTTACCTCTGCATAGGAGGATCCTAAAGTCTGCTGCCGTGGCCGTGGTGGTCTGCACTGTGTAATACGAGGGATGACAAGTGGTGGTCTCTGGTCTCTGGTGTATACAGCGCATTCTTCCGGAGTTATCCACTGTAAAAGAACAATTTCATATTAGGACTAAATGTGTCAATGTATCTTGCACTAAATTTTACTGCACTCTAAATAGGACATCGAATGACAACTCGTCCAACATCATTCCACACATGATGATATTTAATGCCATCCATCGAAGTTGCGATGAATGTTCAAATGAATGTAATTTTTAATTGAGAGGTTGAAAGAAATATGTCTCAATTACGATAAATATCTTTAAAACTAACTCAAAATTATAAATGTCTACCTACTAATTTCACTGGAATGTCACGGTATATACTGAAGTTGACTTGAGATTACTGGAATAATCAAGCAATATGTAGGCTACAAACGTTATACTAGTACTTAGTAGAATACATAAAGATTAAGAATTTCAGCAGTCAAGGAAACAAGCCGGCTTTAGACGCAATTGTGCTACTAGAGACAACATCTTTACACTGAGTCAAATAATTGAAAAATACATAGAATATCAGAAAAGTTTATACATTGCGTTTGTAGACTATTCCAAAGCATTCGCCTCTATATCCCATGAGTCACTTTAGACTGCTCTCGGAGAGCAAGGAATAAACAGTAAATTCATAGATATACTTAAAGATATATAATATGTATTCCAAAAGTAAAGCGGCCATCAAATTGGAAAGAAAAGGGTGAGACATCCAAAAATATTCTACGCTCTCTTGAGCACATCTTCAGGAATTTCAATTGGTCAGGACTTGGCATCAATGTCAACGGAGAATTCCTTAATCATCTCAGATTCGCTGATGACATTGTGTTAATGGCAAACAGTCATGAAGATCTGCAATACTTGCTATTCACTTTAAATCGAAAGTAGAGAGTGCGGCCTAGAGATGAACCTTGATAAAACCTGTATTTTGACAAACGGTGAACAAAAACTAGTACTCGTTCAAGACAAGCACATCAAATATGTCAATGAATATTATACTTAGGCCAGAACATCTCCTTCGAGGCATCATATCTAAATGAAGTAGACAGGAGAATAAAGAAAGCTTGGTCTCACAAACATATCTTCAAATCCCAGATGAATATGAAACTTTAAAAAGCCGCCTAAAATGGCGCTAGGCAGGACATACAGCAAGAACCTCAGATGACAGATGGACTGAAAGAATCCTTCACTAATACCCACGAGGCGGACACCGTGCACAGGGACGACCGGGTCGTAGGTAATGCGACGACATCGTTGCCATAGCCTGGAGCACCTGGACACGACTGGCCGCTGATAGAAACAAATGGCATAGGACGGAGGAGGCCTTTGTCCAGAAATGGTCAAGCCCATAGACAAATTTAAAATGTAATTTGAAATATTTATTATTTTTGGGTGGACTAGATTGCATGTTCTAGTCCTAACCACTATATGAAATATTTTTATTATTATTTAAAATCATTAAAAATTACTAAAAAAATAATTAAAAATAATGTAATTAATTAGAACACACATTTGTAATTTAAAATTAATTCGATATTGATAAAATTTATTGTAAACTATGAAACTGTATTATTGGGAAATTAAAGACTTACTTACTTACTTATGTAGGCTACAATAAGGTTTTGAATCTAAAGTAGACTTGCAACGAATAGTATATTCGGCAGTATACCGAATACCGAATATTCGGCGAGGCCCCTGACCGAATAGCCGAATGTTAGGCAAAAGTATTCGGCTGGATTTTAGCGCCAAAAACTTGTACAGACGTGAAATAAATTATGTACCTGTTTTATGTACCAATGACTACTTAATAAATGATTATAAAAGAAATGAGAACCTTACCCTTCTAAATTTTGATTACCACAATAATTCAAATACATAGAATCCTCCATTTTTCCTATTCAGAAGATGATTATGTACCTGTGTTATGCACCAATGACTACTTAAATGATTATAACAGAAATGAAAATATGAATATATACGTAATCAATAGATTTTAATTTTTCATTTTACCAATTATTTCCCAATGACAAAATATATTATTTAAGTATTCGGTATTCGGCCGAATAATATGTAGATATTCGGTATTCGGCCGAATATAATAAAAGCAGCCGAATAGGCCGAATACCGAATAGTAACCGAATATTCGTTGCAAGTCTAATCTAAAGTAATGACTAATAAATATTATAGTGTCTACAAGGTCCAATCTATCGTCTGTTATTATTCTTGTGGTTTTGACTTATTACACGTTAAGAGTTACGAGTGTAAAATGTGTATATCTAACTACTTAGCTTTAATTAATGTAAAATCAATGAATCACCATCGAGACATCAGCATTAACATCGTATTTGTTTATTGTTACTTAATTATCTAAATACAGTTAAGAATCAGTACTATCTTTTAGTTGTCTCATTGATGACGAAAGTCCTCTATGGCATGGAAAATAAGCACGGTTCAATAGTTGAGCCTTGCGAAACCTTTTTTTTTTTTTTGTTGACGGGTTGGAAAATCCTTTCGGATCTCCTGCTCCTCGGGGACTATGAGCCAGGAGTATGTGGTGATTCCACTAAAAACCTCCCAGACGGCCGGCCTCAGGTGTCCTACTCTGGGGAGGACCCGGACCATGTTATTTCAGGTCCTCCCCGAATTGACACAATGCCTAATCAGGCCCTATCCCAGGGGAGAACACTTCCCCCCCCCCAAACGCGGCATGGCGGCCCGATCGCATTTTAATGCAATCAGGTCGGCCATTCCATGCGCTACCGCAGCAATCAATTTGCCACCAGAGGTCCCCTCTCTGGCGGCCTGTGGCCCCGTCGACGGCTGTTATCGGCGCCGACGTCCTCTACGTTCGGGATCGGCCCTATCCCGATCCCGTTCAGCGGTCTCTTTCTGGAGCATTACATCTTCACTGAAAGAGACCACTGCGCTTTATCCCTCCTCACCCGCCAGCATGGCAGCAATAATTGTTGGCGGGGACAGGTCTCGTCCAATTTGGCCGATCAGGACTTCGCGTTTAGACGCCCACGCGGGGCAGTCTTTCAGCGTGTGCTGGGCGGACTCCCAGTCGGCTGCGCAGTGCTGACATTGTGCCGTCTCCTCTCGTCTGATACGATCAGGTACTCACCGAAGCAACCATGCCCAGTGAGTACCTGCGTCAATCGGTAGGTGACGCGGCCTCCCTCCCTACAGCCTTGCGGAACTCCTATCTTCACAGATCCCAGGTGTCGTAAAATATTACTAATATGTCATATTGCCTTGTAAACCATTGAAAAAAAAAATAACAAGCACACGCTTGATCGTCTTCCTGACCATGAGGAAAAAACAATAGCAATTATGTATAATTTCGCAGAATTGGTTATTGTGTGTTAATTTTATTTTTTGTTAATGTTTACGGATAAAATTATTTACATACACAACTCAAAATAAAATTTAACAAACTGCTCATATTTATGCCATGATAACTTCAACATTAGAGTCGTCGAAAATTTGAACATATTAAAGTTAACTGTATTTTAAGAACATTGTACCTTTGGTCTTCTAGAAGGATATAATTTCTATTTGATATTTTAATTAATTTAAGACAGCTTAATAGCAAAAATGCTTATCATAAATGTCTATAGATGCTTAGCAGTTACATTTGCCAAAAGAAACACAACACTAGCACCTTCGGCAGCGTAATAGTACTAGCCAAGTCGCTTGGTATAATTATAATTCCGATTCCGCTTTAATTTTAGCAAAAATCTGCTGAGGGACCGCATAAAGAAATAAAATGAGCCATTTTCTTTGATTATGCGATTGCTCATGTTATATTATTCTTTTAACGATGACATGTCAGTTTTTTAAACTTCCTAATTCTTCCACAAGAGGCCTTTTAATGAGTAACCATTATTTATATATATTATATATATATATATATATATATTTACTTATATACTTTTTATGCTTTCTTCGTGATCCGTCATCTTATGTGGACGCAAGCTTTCACAGCTTTTAACGTGTATTAAGGAATAAATTGTATAATAGCAATCATAAATACATAAGTATGCTGTACATTATGAACATAATCATCACAGATATGGATAAATCCACTTAAAGAAATTGCATCGTCTTTACATAGTATTGCATAAATGTATACAGCTTTCATCAATGAACGACATACAATGATTTCCTTTCACGATCAAATTTCAGTAACACAGTGTTCCTTGTTGAACATCCTCTAAGACGCAACATTGAGTTTTATGAATAACTACTGTACCCTGTACCTTAAAGTCTACCATGCAATTTGTGTTGTTTATAGAGGATGCTGGTACAATTATAATTTTTAATGTACTTAAAGGCTCAGAATGCTTCCTTTGAAGCGATAATAGAAAGAGAGAAAAAGAAAGAATTTGAAAATGCATTATTTCACCAAAAAGCTTTGTATGTACTTTTGAATCGTAACGAAACACGATGATTTTTTTAAAACTTCTATAGGTTTGGTCTTAAGTGGGGTCTTTGGCACTAAGAAATTATATTTAGGTACTCGTATGATATTATTTTACTACAATTAACAGACTTAAAGCATTTTTCCAATCTCCTTTATTACAACACAAAGTTTTTTCACTGCGTGTGTGGTGATAATGTACGAGTAGATTAACAGTGTTACAACGAAAAATGTTTACAATTATTCAGCTATTAGTATGCAGATGTTGTAATTTTTTTTACAAAAAATATGTTAACATCCAGTAGCAGTAGTTCGTTTCATTTATTTTTGCATAATTATTGTTACACGAACACAACACAACATTTGATATCAAACGCAGGTTACCATACTGCAAATGGTTTTTGCGTTAATTGTGAATTCTTTAACAGTTAAGTATTTGGCCGGAGAGCTTTTCCTATTTGGGGTGTTTCCTTTTTAAGATTGAGCTTCACGAGGTGATGTTGTTGGCGTAATAGTTTTACCATATTTAAGTCCATTTTATGATAGTTGCAGGTTTAAAATAGTACTTGAAATAGCTTTATTTGCGTTATTCAAACATTTAGAAATGACTGAGGAAATCACAAAAATATG